TTTGTGATTCGGCTTTAACCAAAGCCGTGGCTAACAAGACCTGACCCTGCGTTTGTTCATTCACAAAATGAGATGCTATACTTACCTTGACATCATGGACTGGCTCTGAAGTACATCCAAGTTCAGGAAGAATAGGTTCCCCTGACGCAGTAACCCCAATGGCTCCACTATGGTTCTTCGGATGTAGCAGCGTATGGTGTTTACGCTGACAAATACGGCATTTCGAAAAACACGGCAGTATTTGGAAGTATGATTACTTCCCAAACAATTAAAACAGGCACCCAAAGATTGTGTTACGGCACGACGTCCGTCCACATCTAGTTGGCAAAACTTCTTACAATTTAAGAGTTTGTGACTCTCCGAACAGTGTGGACATAACATATTAGTCGTACCGTGCATGACCTTAGTGTGAGATGTAGGATGATGATCGACTTTTAATTTATTTTTAGGCTCAACGCATTCGAGAGCACGAAAACGTGTTTCCAAAAACTCGCAAAACTGTTTAAAGGAAGGTAGATCGTCGGATGATTTAGTGACATGCAGTTCCCACTGCTTCCTCGATTCTACGTCCAACTTTAAGCTTGCAACGTAAATAATAATTACATCCCAAGAACTTACATCGATCCCAATATTAGTAAGTTCGTGCAACACAGTCACTGGTCACATCTAGTAAATCTTTTAGTGCTTTTGATGATTCATTTCCAATATTACGTTGGCCAAATAATCTATTTAAAATATATGTGGATACAAATCTCTTGTTATTATACCTATGTTCTAACATTTCCCAGCATTTTTTATAGTTTAAATCAGTTATAGGTACATGTTTTATAAGCTGCTCCGCTTCACCTGACAGTTGAGTTTTTAAATAATGGAGACGTTGGACATCATCAAGTTTTTTATTGTTGTGTACTAATGACACGAACAAATCACGGAATGACGACCACTCTGTATATTTTCCGCTAAAAGTAGGTAAAACTATTTTTGGCAATCTTACCACACTGCTGTCAGATGAACCATCGCAACCTTCCTTCCTGGAGCTGTGAACTTTTAATTGGGACAAAACATTTTTTAATTCTACCTTGTACATTAAATAACACTCATAAACCGTCTCATAGATATCTTCCTGGAAAAAGTCCTGTAATTCTTCACTTTCGCAATCACCTACGATGACTTCATATTTCGCAGAAAAATTCTTGAATTGGGTCTCTAACATCTCTAAACGTGCATCGACATAATTGTAGTTTATCCGATCTCTCGGGGACTTCTTGTAATTTATCCAGCCCTTTTCAATTTGTAATTTGATATCTTTCAGCTTTCTTAGTTCTTTCTCCATGTTGTTTGTATTCATGAAAATATTCTAAGTCCAGTGAAAGATAGATGAAAATTCTTTAAGTGTCGCTGACAGTTGACAATTGACAAATTTTCCAAGTCCAAACTATAGAGAATTTTTCTAAGTGTTTAATACTTTGTAGATCGCTTCGAAATCGGGCATAGATTCGACGTCTGGTCGTTTTTCTCGAAACTATTCTAAGTCCCTGATCGAATGCACGCGAATTTTTCTAAGTCCCTAGATTTAATGATTGGAATGTACTCACAGTTCTTTGTCCACAATTATGCACTTCACTTCACTACTACGAAGTTCAACGATGATTCCCGATGTATGTCCTCGGCAGCTGAGCACGTAGTCTTCCACATGTGGTATTGTTAACCGACAACTATCACCATCTCGTATCAATTAGCACAACTATATTTAATTGTATGTGTTCTTCCATAAACACCCTTCGGCTCGACTGGACCATGAACAGTATCGGCCGAAAGTCCTTTGGAGCCTATTACTTGAAATAATACGAAGTACCTCAGAGCAAGACAATTTATTTACGTCAAAGCAGACAACCTAATGTTTTGCCGGTAACGAAACCATAGCTTGAATTTAAATCGGCCAACGCCATCTATCGAGCTATGGGACAACACAATAAATAGTAGTATGGCGTTGGCCGAGTGCATCTTTTAAACAGATTATTTCTACACTGAACAAATGGAAAGTACTGTATTATATAATGTTTTTTTTTTAATTCAAAGTATGAATTTAAATGATCCTTCGGAAAAATGTTTTTCGCTACCTTAGTAAATTGTGTTCTAAATCGTAAACAAGTACTTATTGACACAAAAATCCTATCAAATGCTGAAATTCTCTCTAAATAAGACATAATTAATATGAACACACAAACTATAGGTACATTACTAGTGTCTCATGTCGTATAAAATGTCGCCGTATCTCTTTCCGCTTCCGTCCCGTCAATTAAATAATAAAGTCATGAGTATATTTAAATCACCTTGTATCTCCTGCACTCACTTTCAGTGACGCTGTTTAATACATGCAATGTATGTGTATGACATACAACTGGCTAATCTTAATACGCGTCAAAACTACCCGTAGATAGACTCGCTATTCGGAAGTAGACCAAAATATAGATATTTTCCGTCAACAAACTTAATAACAGGAAGCCAACGTTTGAGATTAAAGACTTTTTTAAATCAAATACAATTTTAGCAATTATTTTTTACTGCAACACCATTAAAAGTTGACGTACGTAAAGTTGGCTATTATCGAACCATTATGACATAACTCGTAGTTGAATAGGTGCATAATTAACGTGTAATTCGGTGCGCCCGCGCAAGCAGGCGGTCATTCATTTACGAATCGCGTTATTGAACTTGAACGTTACGGCTCGGTTTGACCGCCTCAATGCCGAACTCTTGCGTAACTGCGTTTGTTAGTCTCCGTAGTTATGATGTACACGGCAAACTCTAGCGCAGCATCGTGAACAATTTTTGGTCATGATAATTGTACATTTACATACAGGAATCTTATTTGGATGTAGGAAGTAGATGTAGATTAGCACGGTTTGCACTGAATTACTCGAACGTTAATCAATTTTAAGCCGCGCTTAAGTGTAGTTCTTCAGGAACGATGTGTAAGTACAATTTGTAATTTGTCTTTCAGTATTCGGGCGTTAGTGTTATACGACATTCAGGTAAAGGTACCTGGAGAGTATGAGTTGGTCATCTGATCAAAGCCGTTTTAAAAACAAAGTTTTTTTATATAATATGGTCAACCTCACTTTAATTCATCTTAAAGAAGAGGTAAAGGTCGTTGTCCAATAGTACAGCTGTTTATACCTTGATTTAATTGCAATTTAGAACATTTCTAATTATTTAGCATTCATAATGGTTATGTTACTCTGTCTTTAATTTATTTAATTCTAAAAGTAAGGAGCCCTCCCAACTGGTTTCTTCATCCGTATATGTATCTATATTAGTTCTAATAGGTAACTATGTCTATAAAAACGAACAGTATGTAATTTCAATCGTAAGTTTATCTATCTTGTGTATTAAATTTTTGTCACCGAATGTATTGTTTGTTTTTTGTATCATTGCTAACGTGCAACCATGACATCAGTGTAAAATGTTTAATGTCATTATTACAGTACACTGTAATCATAAGTACCTATTATAAAAAGTTTTTAAATGTGTTAGAAATTCCGGATAAATCTAGTTCATATTTAATTTTCACCATTAACATTAGATAACATTTGATTGTGAAAGCTATATCAAATACTAGTATAATATGAACAATCTTATTTGGTGCTGCACAAAAGCAGTTATTTTTACCACTCAAACATTGATAAAAATAAATATTTATTTAGCAAACAGCCATAAAACCCACTTACATAATTAGAATGACTAATAGTTCTTTTTTTATTTGGAAAATCATTGGAACATTAGTATTTAATTGGTGAAGATCAAATATTTCTAGAACATGTGTGGAACCTGTTTTTAAGTCTCGTGAGTAGTAGTGGTCACACTAGTCTCCTGCACGTCATTGTTCGTGGCCTGTAGCACGAGTATTCAATACCTCCACGGTGCTCATGATTTCCTGGTACCTCCAATCCAAAATAAGACTAAAGTCCCTGTCACTATTATTATCTCAAAAACTTATTAAAGTTTTATTACATTTACCGGAACCGGTACGTATTTCCGACATGACCTTAAAGGTCTATAAATAAAGTTCACCCGTATTTTGACCGTATTCGATAATTTCCATGTTGACCTAGTAACGTAAGACATAATTATTATATCTGCAAAGCCAATGTGAGTAAAGTAATCCCATACTCAGACCAAAAATGATACGTGACTTTCATAACATTTTTGATTAAATATTTTTGAAATCTGCAAAATATTGCTGATTGCACAACGGTAAATTTCACAAACTTATCGTCAGATTAAAATATTGTCAAGATGTATTTAATTTCATGTATTGCGGAGTTAATATACTGGCAGTAAAACGTAATTAAATTGTCATTTAATGGTACAATCATTATGAAAATGGTTACCAAACGCTAAGTGAAACTGTCGCCGGCGCAATTCGCTCTGTACCCGGTGGGCGTTTGAATTATTTAATTGCCATTTACGATTGTTCTTGCCAAACCGCAGTGTTGTTGCAAAATTCAATGTTTTCAAATAAATTTATCTCACCTTGCCCTTGACACAGACATAAAAGAAACTAGAACATGATATTTGAAAGGATATCGAGATGCTGCGGTCATCACGACTCGCCATACTTTCAGATCACAGGACCCTGGGATTAAGGCCAGGACTCGACTGATACACACTGGTATCTGAACAAAGAAAAGGTTTTTATCTTATGTTTTATATGTCAAAATATTTACTTAGGTTAATAAAAATTGTAATTGATATTACATTAATACTCGTGTGATTGACAGCGATGCGGGATCCATTTCATTGATATTTTTTGCCGTTAGGTTACATGCCTGTAGAGGTATCGATAAGTACACTTGAATTATGTTTATTAGTCATTGAGGACAAGACGGTGTGGATATGAAGTTGTAGGTATTACCTAATGTCATTCATTAGTTTTACAATCTTGGAACAATGAAAATAAAGAAGTTCGCGTAAGCATTGTATAACGCGATAGTTACCATGTAAAGGTCGCCATAGCGACACACCTTCCAGAAGCCCTTGATGCTTGTGAACATGTTGCGCGCGCGTCGGTCGCCCCAACAACCTGCGCCCGCGCCCGCCGCCGCACGCGCCCCTCGTGCGCCCCTGAAACAAGTACAAAGAAATCAGTTAATAAAAAATAAAAAAAAATAAAATCAACAGTTTTTAACAAACTAGACTAAATGAAATAAGAACTAGAATCTTCTTTTCCATAAACATCTATATTCTATAGGTAAAAACTAGATAATGTCACCATTATTTGTCGTTGGAATATTGTAATAATGTTCGTAATTACTTGTGAAATTCAAATAATAAAAAACGGATTGTTTGCAACAGTTGTCTATGTGTTTGTGCCTACATATGTATCAGGCTACACACCTGTAGCCTGACTTGTATGACCTATGGCCCTTTGTACCCTTCAGTTCTCTTTATTGTATCTAAGTACCTAATAGGTACCTAAATGCGTGCCTTTATTGTACCGCGCCCACCATTATTGTACATTAACAATAGACGAACTAATCATTACGTGCCCTTTAATTTCACAGTAAACGCTATTAATCAAATCGTGAACTATTTTTGTAGTAAATAAGTTAAATGTTTCTTATATTTACAACACATTTTATAACCAGATAACGATTCTGTATACTACCGGGCACAACAGTCGTCTCCCTGATACATTCAATAATTTTATAAGACTATTTATATTTATTGATAATTTAAAATTATACATTTTTAATTTTACCGAAAAAAGAGAAATGATTTTTTTAGTAGAATACTTTAACTATATATTATTATTATAGTTTTATATGTACCACGATACATTGCGCACAGCGTATGCAACGCTTGAAATTCACGATAACTGGACCATTCCATAATAAATCTAACTCTTTGTTCTACATAAATAAATAAAACTTTATAGCTTCACTCGTCACTGCAAGTCATATATTTAATCTTACTACAAACATACATACCTCTATATATATATCAAAGAAAAACACTGAAAAAGTTATAAATATGTTTAAAAAACTTACCCCATTGGTTAAAAATGTTCACGACACGACACTCTATCGTACTAAATCATAACACTACAATACACTCGGTCATAACGAACCAAAGTTAATTATAATTGTTACAAAGGAAATTTTCTAAATAATGTGTATTCTTTTTGATAAGATTGTTACACAGCGCCGCCGCGACTGAGAATATCATTACTTCCTATCTATCTATATTAAAATTGATTATATCACTACTACTTACGCCTGTCTCGCTTCTACATAAAAGTACATTCGATATATACGTCACTAGTAAACAATCGAGAAATCAATCATTGAAATCGATACAAGATTGCAACCAGATAGAAATGGGAGTAAACAACATCTTATTTCGTAGCAATAAGAATCATTTTCGTCATACAGAAGGTAGGTTATATATTTACTCGTGTGCAGGTTATCTAATGTATTGATAGTAAGATGAATCTGGCATCGATACCTATTTTAATAGACTTATCTCAGACTGATCCATTTATAGAGGAGCGATCCTACATTTATTCGAGAAAAAATTACGCGGTAATGTGAACAAGCATGTAATATAATATAATACATTTTATATCTGTAGTTAGTTTTTATATTTAACTAGGTAACCTCGCAAACGTCATACTCGCTCAAAATTCCCTGGACATCCACGAAGATTTCAAGATTAAAATTAGCCAAATCGGTTCAGCCATTTTCGAGTTTTAGTGAGACTAACGAACGGAAATTAATTTTTATTTATATAGATTTTAAAAACACGAAACTCATAATCAATTACATCTTAACATCTTCAATGTCATAATTGTCCAAATAACTGTCTTCTATCTCCTACTCTCCTAGTACTCATACAACGTAACGTAGACACCAGGTACCAGGAGAGTAGAAAGCGAGAAAACTAAAACAAAGTTTTAATCTCGTTAATATAATGAACAGTTTATTACTTTTACAACAATTGATTGTTCATGCTGTACCTACATCACAAATATGTCACATGCCTATTTATCTTAAACAGGTGACGATATTGACGTCAGATCTCGTCAGAATTATATTCCTATTGTTCGGTAAACCCTGTAATCGTAGTAAATTAAACATTAACTATTGAATATACTGATTGTTTTATTGACAATATTTTGCTTGTCAAATGTGATAAAAATGTACTTATGACGTTTCACAAATTGACGCGACTTTTCTGGAATACGATTCAAATCGATGCTATATTCAATCGTCAACAAAACTTGGTTTGAAACTGCAACATTGTTTGACGGGACTTTTTCCGTTCATATTCTAAGAACAATTTAAAGTGTTTGTTACAGGTAACAAGTGCACTGATTAAAGAGTGTTTATATTATAATTAAATATATATATTGATAACAACGAACACAATGCGGTGTGAACATGATTCAGCGCGAGACATGTCGTATCACTGGCACGCGAAACAAAATATTTAACATTGAATAAAAATTAAAATTAATAAACAGTGGCCTGCCATCCTATCTACATAATATATACAATATGTTATCATTACAGACATTGACAATTGTTTCTTATTGCACACATGTTTTCACGTGAACCACTCTGTTGGAATTTCTTATACTCTGTTTAAAAAAAGGAAGAAATGAAATTATTTCGCATTAGCCACAAGTAATTTTGTTATGAATTTTTATTATAATTATAACGTTTGACTCATAAGAACGGCTAATTACTTTACATAAAACTGAAATAGGGTTTGTAACGTTCTCAGAAAGTGGGTATAGAAGAGTAACTACGATAAAAATTTCCAAAAGTCTTACGAGGCAATTGGAATTTTGTGAGCATTCGAAGTGGATACGCATTTATGCAATTCATGCCGTTCTCATAACAAAAATTAAATTGTGTTTTTATAATTTGAAAAGTGGTATTTACATCTTCATAAAAATTATGTGAAATTCATAATTACTTCAACCAAATGTTAGTGGGAACTAATAATATTACTGGAACAAGTTTATCGTAATGCAACGGTAAACAAATTAGCTGTAACTATGAACAATTGTTCGGATATAACTGTTAATGTAGTTTGATAAATTGCAACTACAATACTAATAATAGTACTATTGTGGTACTATTGACCTATAGGCCAATGGTTTCGATAATCACCGGGTTTGGCCAAAAACTTGCCAGTAGATAGAATGTAGGGTAACTGCATCGTTTTTGTGATTATTATTTTAGTCCAAAATACTTATAACGGCTTGTTTTCCGGCCTTATTGTGTTTATTACCTATTTTATCACATAGCTTTTTAAACCGACTTTAAAAAAACAAGGTTCTTAGTTTGACGCGATTTGCTAAACCGATTTTGATGCAGTTTTCTGAAAACTCCTTGTTACACTTAGGAGAAGATTTTAGTATATTAATTAACCGACTTAAAAAAGAGGGGGTTGAATTCTGTTCATTAAACGTACTACACATATACAAGTTAAACAGGTAATTTGCACTTTAGTGGCAGCACTAGCAACAAGTATTTTTATTAATAAAACTAGCTGTGCCCGCGACTTCGTTCGCGTGAAATAGTGACTATGAACAGCATTTTTTTTAAATATATACTTATTTTTATTTTGGATCATTATGTCGGTACAAAATTTCAACCAAATCCGTCAAATACTTGCGGAGATTAATGGTGCCTATGTATGTATAAGCATAGAATTGTGTTCGACGTGATTCTTTAATTTGACATAACTTTTTTATTTATGAGCCGATTGACATGAAACAAACACTAAAGCATAACTAAAACATACCACAATATATTCGTGAAAACCGCATCCAACTCGGATCAGCCGTTTCTGAGATTAGCGTGAACAGACAAACAGACAAAAAAAAGTTAATTACATTTTTGGGTTCGACATCGACATAACAATAACCCCTGCTATTTTTTTATTTTTATTTTCAGTGTACAGACAGCACTTTTCTACAATTTTATTATATGTATAGGTAGATATAGATAAAGAGTAGCATGCAATGTTTACTGCATACAGCTGAAACAACTGACCGGCAACTTGGTAGCTTATCAAGTTTGTTGATCTAAACATATCATACAAGATACAACGTTATATGCGTACTATGTACTCGTAATATCACTGAAACATGCGATCTCGTTGTTATGTGCCAACTCATATCTCAATATAATTCCTTTACGAGACACCTTCTGAAAAAACTAATCATCAAAATCGATCTAACCATTCTCGCTAGCTGAATGAACCATGTACGACAAAAGACATCATACACACAATTCTGTCCGTCCATCCGTCAGTCAGTCAATATAAACTATCATACATCATAATATGATCACAACACAAAAGTTTTGGATCGTTCATACTTGAAGTATTATGTTTAACAATACCTTATTTAAATTATTCTTCCCAAGTCCTAACGGTTAACTAGAATTACATCGAAATAGTGAACGTGATAATTTATAAATAATAATATAGTAAGTTTTAATCCTAAGTTTTATCAAAATCAGTTCAGCTATTTAAGTGTATAGAGTTACTTCTATATATTTACAATCATGTAGGAATTATATTTTTGCACATATATTAAATTGTCTTATAAGTATTACACGTTTAATATAGTTGCGCTGTTTCAGAGATATTGACGTGTTTATTGTTGACAGTATGTTCGATAGATACATACGTGGGTTATTGATAAGTTGTGAAAATTATTGTATAGGTAATAATTATTATGCGACATTAACTGCAATAAATATATATGTAATTATATTTGTAACTATGAGGGAATGTTTGCATGAGAATCGTATTTAATAGATACCTGCTTGTTTATTTACTAATGAATGTTGAATTGTAATTTTATAGATAAGTAAGCTAATATATGGAACACCACGATATGAGGAAATATTAAGATTTAGAACAAAATTAAGAAACTGAAATATCTTTTATTATTTTACCAGTTTAACATGAAAAATTGAATCATACATATTTTAAGGTTGAAAATAATTTTATATAGACCAATGGCAATGGCACTAATACTTCTCAAAATATACAAGGCATATATCATAAACAAAAAAAAACAAAATAATTAAGGCACATAGATAGCTTGGAAATCTTGAATATCATCTTTTTGAATCGATAGTTCACCTAGTTTCCCCAGATATCCTAGACATATCAGTCTGTTATCTGACAGATACTCAGTGCCCTCGTAATACAATACTGAAAAGGATTTAAACTGGAATCAAAACAAGATTGTTCTTGATTCAGTGCAAGAGATGTTTTGGGGATACAATTGAGTTTTATAAGTAATCTTTTTACTTTTTTAAATAATGTAAGACGTAAAGACCATGCATAGTTTGTGATGATTTTGATTAAATGAGATTATAGAGGTATAGAAGTGAAAAAAATCATCGATATTTTGATATGTAAGCTAAAACTGATTATTCCTTAGGACAATAGAAAAAAAGGACAAAGTGGCATTCTTTGTGAGTGCTAAAAATATAAAACCGTGTAGCAATTTTTCAAAATCTATTAACGTCATGGATGGATACTCGGAGTTACGTAAACGTATTATAAAAATTAGCAAGACTGTATAATAACTGCTAATTTATTAATTATCTCCATTTGTATTAAAATTTCTTTAGTAAGGGCTGCCGTTTTTTTTCTGTTTGTTCACCATATGGCGTTAATTACTTATTAATTCCGTTTATTTATTTATTTACTAGCTTTCCGCTCTCTGCTTTGCACGGGCTTGGGGGCAGGCTTATTAAAAATAATCTGTGACGTGTTGTTACAAAAAGTTCGCATACCAATTTTTAGCTTTCTACCTTGAAAACACAACATTTTTTGAGGCAAGCCGGTAATCGAGCAAGCGGATCACCTAATGGTAAGCCATCGGCGTCGCCCATGAACACCTAGAACACCAGAGGCGTTACAAGTGCGTTACCGGCCTTTAGTAGGATTGTCGGAGATTCAGATTGGGAAGATTGCACACAATTACACGACGAAACACAACGCAAGCGTTGTTTCACG